GTCATAATCTCCTCTGACTTTACCATAAATTTTTTTAAACCCTCTGCATTTTGAAGTGAAACCTACAAAGAGCATTGTCATGACCTTTACTAGAAGTCCAAGGATTCATACTATGAATGTCCAAGTGGAGCCTTTCTGATTAGTCTCCTCAAGCAAGCATTTCTGATACTCGCTCGACAGCTTTATGATTTAGCTGTCACTTGCTGTTCAATCATGTTGGATGCCTAACTTTGCATGAGACCCTCATTGGAAATTCTGCATTTGAACGGATAATTTTTAATATTTGGCTAGAGTTGTGCATACTAAGGGCATCAATACAGTAAATGCAAGTCATCATGTACACTGTAAGATCGATGCAGCAGCATGAGTTCCGAAGTAGAGATATTCATAAAACAAGAACAATTTTGAACACATTTGTGGCGAGAGCAGCTTGATGAAAATGCAAGGTGCAAAATTGTGACTTGAATGCGAGATGTATGAGGAATAAGCATTATGATCGAGAAAACATTATTTAGTGACACTGCTGCAGCTCAACCTTCTTGTGGGTGACTCCTCATTCTCATTGGCTGCGGAAGTGATCATGTGGCCATAGCGACAGCCAATGGCGCTTGTGTCAGAATTTGCAGTAAAAGTCCTGGTACATATGTGATTATACAGAGCTTTACCAACCTATAAAAATTTTCAATGCACAGCAATTTCTTCAGGTATCTTGTTGAAGAATTGACTTTACTGTGGAGAGATTTTGCGGTATGAAGCTCCTTACAAAATAAACGGCCAAAAATAGATTACAGCAGGTATATGTACAAGATATAATTTGTAATGTCTGGTATTTGGTCTTTTATTTTTTTGTTCCACGATACTAGGCTTCTATGCTTTACCTGCACCTCCTGCACAAACTGCATTCGGTGCACACATATTCAATTTACAAGTGCAACATTTCTCAAAACAACTGGAAATACAATGCCCTGCACTTTCCTGCACTGCACTAAATCGAATGAGCCCAATACTAGTGTTTATGTGTGGTGGCAGTTTGGGAAGTACACCTAATAAAAATTTATCCTCTTCTCAATTTCAGTCCCCTCCCAAGGGAGCAACAATACCGTACCGTCCAAAGCCGGCCATGCCACCAGTGATATTTGCAGGGGGTCAAGCCTACACTGTACAGGGCCAATATGCAATTCCACATCCTGACGTGAGCATCTGCCTCCCACAAACCCCGTTTTCTTGCCTCTTCTGCATGATGTTGCATCTTATGTTTTTGCAGCTAGGGAAATGAGGATAAGCAACTCGTTTAGTTTGTATGTGACAATATGGGTTAATTTAGAACTATTTGAAATATCATATGGGGCGGTTGGTGCAGCCTTTGTAGAACTATTTGAAATATCATATGGGGCGGTTGGTGCAGCGTTTGTTGTTATTTGGGTAGCTTCTATGGCTAAAGCTATGTTGCATGAAGTTGCATGTGTCTATCTATTGTTTTGCCATGATACCTAGCCTTTTTCTAGGAAGTGCAGATACAGGTGAAATAAATATGGATATAACTTTCAGTGATCCATTAATAGATGACACAAATGTGTTTGTATGTAGGTACACATTTGAAAGGTAGTTAAGTTGTAAAAATGTTCCTGCAGAGTAAGAGTATTTGCTGCTAAGTCCCTATGCCTGTACTATATACCATAGCGCTTCAGTGCATTTTCTTTATGTGCAGGAACTCCCCAGTCGGGTGGTTAGAAGGGGCATAGAATGAAAATTCAGCTATGCACAAATGTCACATTGTTTGCCCACATGTATTTCTGCTATAACTAGATGTAAAACTTTTCAAGAAGAGTCCTGAGTAAAGAAGCTTTTGTTGCCAAATGCACTCACCCCCAAATCTGTTCCTCCTGTCCATGCCTCCATCTTTCATTTTCACCTTCTTGACCTTTTCCTCTGACTGACGATTCTTTGACAGCTGTACGTGAGGAGCCATAAGACTCAAACTCTGTCATGTAAAATAAAGGTAAAAAGAGATGTAAGGAAAACTTAATAAAATCTTTTTTTTTTTTTCTAAAAATAAGAAAGAAGCCCACTATCAAGGAATTTTTCTTCAACTCTTTTTGTTTCTTTAAAGAAAGTACCAATCACTTATTTTGGCTAATAGGTGTCTAGTAAGGACACTAATGAAAGAGTCCTACCCATCTTATGTACTATCCATCTCATGTACTACAGTAACTGTCATTGCTATCTATGAGGAAACCATTAACCTAACAATCTTAAATCACTTAAGGTTTTAATGAAGCATTAGAAACAGCCATTACAAACTTCTAAACAGCAGTGAGGTCTCACAAATACTCGTCGCTGCAGTCACTTTTAAGGCCACTTTTGCACTTGGGCTCTGGCCCCTTCTTTGCTTTGACCTCGGAAATGAAGAGCAGGTGTTTTATCTACTCTACCGAACACTTTCCACCTATCCAGACCCACCACCCACCAAACCCAGACCTATCTACCTACCCAGTGTGTGTGTGTGCCTGTGCTCAAAAGCTAACAGGCCAGACATTGGCTCGTTCTTTCTTAGAGCATATGTGGTTTATCGTTGTCTCCAAGGGGCCTCCGCCATTTCTCGCTTAGCTAAGAATCGAGCCTGCTAAAAACACGACAGCGATGGTGAGGAAGCAAGATTAGACGTAGCATTTGATCTGGTGGTGGAAGCATGTTTTTTGCGGCAGGTGACAAACCTGCCGAGAGCGCGCCACACGACTGCCGTTTATTAATGAGTGCTCCCTCATCCCCTTCCTTCTTCTTTTTCTTCCCCGTGATGGTGGGCTTCTCTTTCCCCTTCCCCCGACTGCAGCCGGGCTCAGTGCCCGCCTCCGCCGCCTCCAATATGGCAGGCGTCAAACAGCCGACCAACCTGTCGTGCCCCTCGTGTTTCTTTGTTCCCGCCCCGCAGCTGACCAAGCTCCACCAGCTGGCTCTGCAACACGCTCCGTTGCTCCCAGGGCACAGCGTAGGAGCTATCAACCCCCAAGGTGAGAGGGCTCTGCCCCAATGAACCAACCGGCTTTCCTCCCCCCCCCCCCCCCTTCCCCGGCACATTCCAGCCCTCCACATTGGGATTGGTAGAGCGATATTCTCAAAATGGAGATTGCCGTGGGTTCTGCAAAGAAATGTGATTTGTGAGGGTATCTGACGGTAGCTGAATGCATTTTGTGGTTTGTGCTGGTAACAAGCATTTCTGTCTCTTTGGCTTCTGTATGGTGGCAGTAGAAAATTATTGATCAGTTGCATTTAAGGTAGGACACCTAAATGTTTCTGGATACTGCTTCCGGTGCTGACCAGTGAAAAGGGGCTCGTAGATTGTTTTTCGTGGAACACTTTTTATAAGGATAGCTTGAACTGCCTTGTTTCTATACTCGTTTTCACTCCACAAACCGTCGTAAAAAAAAGTTGAGCTCCCCGTGGTGCATTATTAATTTCCCCTTTTATGTAGAAAATTAAGATATATGTAGGTGCATTTTAGATTAGGTATGTGTTTTCTTATCAAGACATACACATTTCAAATGTCAAAAGCATTGCTTGTTCCTCTGACAACCAAATCTTGCAATAACTTCTTCACACGGCTAATGAAGAATGCACAAAACTCCCTTTTTCTTCTTGTGGTGAAAACAAGCATAGTATTGCTTTTGAAAGCCGGCTTCAGTGTACTGTTGACGAAAGGGCAACATTGTAATTGACTAATTCTGTGAGCCATCAGATCAATAACCTTTCTATGCGTAAAGTGTGGGAGCAAGCTAAGATATTATGGTAGGTATATTTATTTAGAGTAGCCTTGCAACAGTATATGTACCCTTTAACACAAAATTTTACATTTCTGGAATGAGACTGCCCCCAACAATCATCTGTGTCAATCCTTGAGTGCCTTTTACTAAAAAAGCTTCTTCAAAAATTCTGTGACACACCCTCAAGCCTGGGTGATTATATATGAAAATATATGTAAACAGTGACTAACACATGGTTCAGAAGAAACAGTTAGTATGTATAGTAGCTATTTTTGTGTGTGTGTAAGGTTCCTCTTTGCTTATTTTCTTTCTTATGGTGTCTCAATTATCCAGATAATAATCGTAATGCTTTAATTTTTTTAGTGCCCACAAGATGCTTTGGGCTTGTTTGGTGCAGTCTTTGTTAACTGTTGAACTGGCTTTTATACATTACCTTCACACCCATTACCTTTCTTGACTTGCTTTTTCGCTCTGCTTGGTTCTTTTTTCTTGCAGAGTGTGTTGGAATAGTAAGAGGGACCTTCACTGAATTCGAGGTTCAGATATTAGGCCAATGCCCCAGCTAAATATTCTCATTAGATCCAATTGGAATTCTATCTGGTTTTAATTGGAACCAATCGGTTTTAGCGGGTTCCAATTGGAAGTACTCTTGCCAATGGGTCTCACCAATTGGAAAAGATTTCCAGTTGGAAACTTAATGAGTTCCAAATGGTTCCAATTGGTTCCCGTTGCAGTGACCAATTGGTTGTCCGAAAACCTAACTTGTACCAATTGGAAATTCAAATTAAATTCTAATTGGAATTTTCAACTGTTTTCTACATTCAAACTTTCAAATATGATCACTAAACAGTTCTACCGATTCCGTGTTTCCAAACTGGCGACCCTTCAACCTACTCCTACTAAATTTCTAACCTTGTAATTTGACGATGCTTTGAATAGGTAGAATGTGTGAGGTACACTAAGTAAATAACACCCTTACAGTCTAAGTTCGTTATAACAGACCTTGATCTCGACCCAGACTTCAGTCACAATAAAAGGAGTATATTGTATGCAGATATGAAGTTGAGTCAATGGTGCGTAGAGGAAAACCAACCAAAATTCACAAATCTGCAAAGAAATATTAGAAACAAATGCCTGTTGTAACCAGGCCTGTTATAACGAGCTTAGACTGTATTTAGTTGCCTGTTGGTGACATTAAATCTCCTAGTGTGTTCAGGATAATTTTTTACAATGTTGCATTTTCACACGGAGATTGATTTCACATGCCCAAACTTTTGTACTGTTATAAACCAAACGTTATCTACATTCCCCAAGAAAGAAAAGGGCAGGGAAATATTTTAAATGCCATAGCAATTACATTTTAATTGTTCCAAGGGACCAGGAAAAATTATTTCACAAATTTCAAGGTTCACTTCAGAAAACAAGACTACTTTTAAGACGTAAAAAATTAAATAGGCATTTTGTGAAGCCACTTGTAAAGGTTCTTCATGCTTTATGACCTGCACAATCTGACATATGTTTGTCTGTATGTTATTAATTAAATTGTCTGTATGTTATTAAATTTAATATTGACTTGTATAATATTGTAGGTAATACACATGTTCCTTTTACTAATAGTGCTAGGTAAACTGCAGTCCGAGGTTGTCAAACTCAAACTTTTCTAAAGTTCAACCTTTCAAACCTTCTGAGCATGAACTTCTAGAAAGTTAGCAAAATTCAAAACATTTTGAACCCCACTCCAATCATTATAGGTCGCCAACTGTTAGCAAAATTTAAATCGGCCAAAATTCAGAAACTCCAAAAACCTTCGAAACATTCAACATTTTCTAACATGCCCAAACACAAACCTTGGGGAGTTTGCTACACCCGTAACAGCAGCAGCTAGAGGTACTGCAGATATTTGTTGCAGCTTACTTCCTCAATAAAACAGGTTATAATCTTGCTTATCTCCCTTGAGGATTGTGGCAGTGTGGCAAATTGTAATGACTTTAAGCTGTGCAAAAACAGAGAAGTAGCAGCAACATTTGGTTTACAGCAAGAAAGCTGCACTTTAAAGAGAAGCTGAAGCAGTTCTGTATTTGAGAAAGAACACCTATATTTATTTGGCCTCCAGGATCACAAATATCAAAATTATATTTCAGATTGATGTGCCAAGTAGCTACAACAGTGCTTTCAACATATTGCTAAAGCCCCTGCTTCCCAGCACATTCGGTGGGGGGAGAGAATCGTGACGTATTATGCAGAGATCTCAACATACCCGCGCGCCTTTCGCAAGCCTTACCTGAGCAGTCAAAAGCACTGCACGCGTTCCCTCACAAGCGGCACGCGCAAGGCTGTTGAAACCTTGGGGTATAATGCCACACCCAGTGGTTAGTTTTTCGGTTTTTCTCGTGCCTAGTGGGATGTTCGAGTCAAATGCTTGTGTTATTTGGACTCACTGGGCGAAAATTGGGAAAAATTCTCCTCTAACTCGTTTTTTTTTTTTCAAGAACCTCTTCAGCTTCCCTCTAAATAGTGACCTTTAAAATGTATTTAATGTTTTTTTTGGTAGAGCTTAATAAAAAAATCTTTAGAACAAAGAAATTTTTTTTTTATTCAAATAATTGCATTAAAATGTGCATTAAGTTCATCAACCTTGAGGCCGTTTTTCTCAGTACCAGTACCTGTTTTGAAGGGCACAGCATTGAGGAGGCTGCAGCAGTGTAACATGCAAATTCTAGAATGTTTAGCACTCAATTGTACTACCATTCAGCTAGCAATGAGTACCTCTTTGCCTACTTTACTTATCTGTACAGATATATGTAAATTAAGCTTTGCTTTGATGACGGTAAATTTAAATTTACCATATATCCTCATTAAATGGTCTCATATGAACACATTTCCAGTCCTAATGAAGCTATGTTGTTTCATTAGGAGTGGAATTGTGTCCTTGTGAGATTATTTAATGAGGATATATGGTAAATTTAAATTAACCATATATCAGAGCAATAAAGTCCCTGTATATAGATGAACCAGATGAGACTAGCAAGACATCAAAATATTTCTAGGAGCCCCTAGTTGAATGCACATATTATTATGGCTTCTAAAAAGTTGTAAATGTGTTTGCCACATTTTCTAATTAGCAAATATTTTCCGCCTGAATGACCAGCTCTGCTGATTGAAGTGAAAAGATGCCTCACTCATGTATAGAATGCTCTATGCTACTCGTTTTCACTAAGGGTATAAACCAAAAAATAAAATGTTTGTAAGATGTCACCCTCCTTCTCATAGGTTGCATGCAATCTGTGAGAGTGGGGAAACATGCACAGACAAGCAGAAAAGGCACTACCAAGTTCCAGCATAATCTTCACTAAGGTAGATGCATCACAGCTAGAGCAAGACAGCTTTCCAGTTGCGCTGAGTCTTGCAATTGCCACTGCATCAGACTTTTGATAACTACAGTGGTCTGCAGAATAATTGTTTAATTCTAGAACAAATAATAGTTAAATGTACTCATTCAAAACAGTATGCAAAGAGCATGAAAAAGGACCCTCTGAAAACTTCCAGTTGGCTTATTTTCAAGTTCTTGCTACCTGCCTCAACTTCCTTCGCATTAAGCATGCAATGGGCATTGAGAAAGGAAACCAACTTTTACAAGGTGCGATCAAAAGGTTAAGAGACTAGCTGTACTGACTTAACTTATGTTTAACTTTTATCTACTCAAAGTAATGCCCCTTGTGCAGCAATAGAGTGCATCCAGTGCTTCTGCCTCATCAAGACTTTGTCAGGACCTGCCAATGCACCTCACAGCTTCAAATGTTAGCAGAGCAACGCCCCTTGGCACAGTGACATGTAAAGGTCCCTGTCTTCGACAGCTACACGTGCATCACCCATGCTGCCCTTTCTTTTTACGCTATGGAGCTAGTCTCAAAACTTCTTGATGGCATCTCGTATATTGATTTTCCTTTGCAACGTTCACTGGCACCACTATTACAGCTGTGAACGCATGAAATGACATGTCAAAGCAGTGTTGAGAGAAGAAAGAAAAAAAGCTCTAATTTGATGTGTGTTGTGAAGCATTGAGGGCCGTTCCTGTTCCTGTGAGTGGGTCTCAAATGACAAGGGTGTGGGCACTCAGTGTCGGGTTTCTCAGCAGCACTGGCAGCACTGGCCACCACCAACAACCTGCGGCCCAACACGGCGGCAGCCGCCATTGCGACGGCAAGCACCACCACCACCGAAATGACCATCCCCAACGACCTCATAGGCTGCATCATCGGCAAGGGGGGCTCCAAGATCAATGAAATTCGGTGCGCCTTTTAATCCATGCATAGCTTTTTTGTCTGCTCTTTTGGACAAATGCAGTTGCATTCCGTTTCACATACTGTAATTACATCACACCATAACAAGCGGAGAAGGCTCCATAGAAAGAAAGAAATTTCACGAAGGTTCCCATGCGAGGATGGCACAAGCAACACCTCTGTCTATATTTGAGTAGAGATTGCTTCGAAATTTCCATACTCAAACTTTGTTGGCATGCTAGGGCACAAACGTTTTCCTTGCAAATGTGCACAGCAGGACACTGTTGGTGTGAATTAGGGATGTCACGAACCACCCTAAGTTAGATTTCGAAAGGTTTCGATATTTGCGAAGCGAACTGAGGTTCGATTTCGAAAAATTTCAATATTTTCGTACCGACCGAGGTTTGAATTCGAAAAATTCTCAACTTTCGATCACAGTGGAGTTTCGAATTCGAGAAGTTCGAAGCTTTCACGGTTTCTAAAATTTCGGATTCGAATATTTCGAATATTTTTTTACTTCAGGTTCGATAAATTCAAAGATTTCGAAATTCTTTGGAAATAAAATTTTAAAACTTCGAACGCTTCGAATTTTTATAGACATGAAGTTCGAACAATTCGAAATTTTCGAATTTCTTTCTGCATAAAGTTCGAAAAGTTCGAAAGTTTCGATTCTCTTTTAATGCTAAAGTCGAAAAAAAAAAAAAAAACTTTGAAGATTTTGAATTCCTTCCTTGTCCAAGTTTTCAAAAATCGAAGTCCGGTTTTCAAGTTCCTCCACAGTTTCAGTTTCAAAAAATGTTTTCACGACTCACTGGTTTTCACAAAATCAAGTTCAGAAAAGTTAGGGTGTGATATCTAAATTCTGCGAAGTTGATCAGGCAATTAAATGAGACGACGAGTGTCCCGGATGTGCTTAGAATATTTGCCAGTGCAGAGTGACGTGTGACCATAGATCAGTAATTGTGACCGCCAGCCCGGGGGGGTTTTAATCTGCATCACGCAGTAGTGATCACACGAACACACTGTTTTACGAGACTCATCCAGTTCGAAACGGCCAGGGGCGAGCAGGAGGTTGAGGCTCAGAAAAACCTTGAAGCGACCTGGCAAACTACCTCCCCACCCCTTGCACACTGGTAGTAATCCGATCGAACGCCGCCCGAGTGACGCATATAGTAAGTTAAGTTTGTAATTGTCCTTGAGGTTTATTTTCTGGGACGGATGAATCGCCTCGCAAAAAGCCGACACAACTCGAGGACAAGTGGCGTCGGAAGAGGAAAAACGGGGGGAAAGAGGGTAGTGGGGGGGGGGGGGGGAGAGGGGGGCTTCAGTTCCCTTTTCCTTTCAGATATTTCGGACTGTTAAAGAAAACAATACGAGGAAAGAGGGCGTGGTCGAGCTTATTTTAATCTGAAATTATTTATGCATATGTATAGCTACTGTCGCTCTTCACTGCATAAAAGATTGCTTAGATGGTCATTGTTAGAAACTTGTAATCAGAAGGCACTACTCGTTACATGCTTAGTGGTTCGGAAGTTCAAAGATATGTCTTTTCAACCTAAATACCCGTGCCAATAATAAAAAAAAAAAAGACTAAATGCGGGGATAAAAAGCTGGAGAAAAAAAAACTATTAAGAATTCGCCGGAAGTATTGTATTCTTTCATATTCAGAGGTTCAGAACTTCGAAACAAGTTTTTTTTACCAAAATGTGTACAGGCTAAAAGAAACACGTCCCAGGAACGTGAAGCGAAAAAAAAAAAAAGTTTTCTTTTAATGACGTGCTGAACTTGAACACTATTAGAAATCTTCTCCCATGAGTTAATTTATTCCTTCACGTGAAAAAACAATAAATACATTATTTTGTATTCTGCAGATGGCAATGATATGTACTGTCTGTGGTGTTAATTTAAATGCGATACCTTAAACAACTTAGACGAAAATAAATATCAAGTTTAGGGCATAATTGCATGTAGATACATGTTTGGACATTTTTTCGAAACTCACGTTGAATAACAATAATCACATCTTAAGACGGCACTCATTCTTAAAAAAAGTATAACATTTCTATCATAATTAGCTTCGGCTACAGCGCGCTTCAAATCTGGCACAAACGATAATTGTCAAAAACCCGTCGTTCTTCCTCGCCCCTTCGGGAATTAATTTTTTTTAAACTAAGCATGCCAGAACATTGAAACAAACAGCATTGTCTTTCGTAAGGAACGTAGCACCGTGTGTAAAAGTTTGAGAAAAAAAAATTACGAATGTACCTCACTACTTAAATTCAAATGAAACCGTCTGCCGGTTTTTCGAAGTTCGACGAACGTCAAACTTTTACCCTAAAAGTTCGAAGTTCGTCGAACTTCTGACTTTTCAGGATTCGAAAGTTCGAAACTTTTCGAATTCTCTTGATAAATAGGTTCGAAAGTTTGAAATTCATCGAATTTTTTGGTCAGTCAAGTTCGGAAGTTCGACAAGCATCGAACTTTGCAGCACAATAAGTTGGAAAAAGATCGAATTTTTTAGCGTAATAAGTTTGACGGTTCGAAAAGCGTCGAACTTCTTAGCTTAACAAGTTCGAAAAATCGACTTCCGTCGAATTTTACGATATAGAGAATTCAAAAAATCGAAATCTTTCAAACCTTTCGAACCGCTTGATTCAAGTATCGAAACTTCGATTCGAAAAAAGTTTGCAGCATCCCTAGTGTGAATACAACATTGGCGCTTTTGAGCATTTTACTTTAAAATGTGTTGCCGACCACCAAATATTACTCCTTAGGTTAGTGTCCTAATTGGATATTTTTCGCCACACCAGTAGGATGACAGCATTTTGATTCTAAAAAAAAAACGGAGAAAACCGTCGAGTCACTCTTTGCACTAAAAGCATCATGCAGTGTACACCTGTTTCAGAAGTCCATGCTTGGGAACAAGCTTTGGGACCTTACAGCTTGTGCTTAGGACTCTTGAGACAGGGAGAATACAACCCCACTAGGCACATTGGGATGTCTACTCACATCATCTCTTCAAAGTTTCTTGTAATGCATTTCGTGTAGTGCACTCCTGTAACGAAAGTGTGTTGCACAGAAATGCACCAGTATAAAAAAAAGCACTGAAGAAAGTATGGAAGTGATCAGTTTCATACCAGGGTACCTCCGATTGTGAATGCAATGCTGACCCAACTGCACCTACAGTGCACGCAGGAAAAGCGAGTTTGAAATATTGTCGCAAGGAGACAGCAATGTCATAATGCTGGGTTTTCTATGTTACCCCCGAGCAGTCAGCGCAAGACACAGAGCGGCCGCAAGTGCTGCACCATGTTCTCATTGACTGAACGCGAGTCTCAGCTGAACACTGCTGCAGCACTCGCGTCCGTCCATTCCCCACGCCGGTTACTTGTGGGCAATATATCCAACGCTATGGAGGTATTGAGTGAGTGTGCTCGCACAAGTGGCGAGAAAATGTGCAGGAGGTGAGGGAGAAGAGAGCAAGCACATGCTTTGAAGGATATTAGGAGACAAAAAATACCAGGGTTAAGGCTAGGGCGTGGGACTGCAGGAGGCTCAGACTTTGCTTTTTACTCCTGCTTAAATGTTCGCTTAGGCAGGGCTTTCTTTCAGAGACTCTAGGCAGGACGACGTTTGTGTCATCGAGGCACTATATGCGTACCGAGTTCATCTGTGCATCATCACTGCGGAGCAATACATAACATGTTCTGTGCTATTACTGCCTTTGCCGTGACAGTGCAGGAAAGGAGCAACACTTTTGTTCTACAGCGGTAGCTGTTAGTGCCCCTTCCCGGCAAGAAATGCTCATGTATGAACACAAAACCCCACTCTACAGAAGAGGCGCTGCTCTCCCTCTCTTCGTCGTTCCTCACACGTGGCAAGGCTCTCTTTTGCTACTTCCCCCCCTTCCCTTCCCCCCTGTCGGCCGCCAGTGTTCTGAAAAACCCCCGTGATCACGGGGAGAACGCTCCCTTTCCCTCCCTCACCTCCCCCACTTCCTCCACCCAAAGTATGTGTGCAAGCTTTTCCACAGAGGCACTCTGCATCTCTACAGAACAAGCTCGCGTACATACTTTCGCTTCTTCCACCGCAGGTGCTGTCACGGGCAGCCCCGTTCTGAAGGGGCGTGTCAGCCCCCAAAAGAAAAGCACGTCTTTGTGTCCTCCAGCAGGCGCAACATCTCGCACAGTCGTTCCACCAAAGCACACACCTCCTACATCAATTCCACTGAAAGCAAAGAACCCATAGCAAACATTGTACAGCGCACTGGTTGATGGCTAATCACCTTCAAAGTGCCTGTCCACAATGCATCAGTTACCACTGTCAATTGCAGCACGCTTTGTATGGTCTTTCGCAATTTTTTTAAACATGACATTTACGGGAATGATTATGAAGGCTATCGAAGGAGGGTAATAAAGAAAGCTGGCATAATTTGTCACATATGCCATTTATTTTTTTGGTCGTAAAAACATTGCTTGTAAAAAACAATTTTTGTTCATAAAAAAAATGGAGTAAATTCAATACAGATAGGATGTTCAATACGCTTTACTACCACCTCAGCGACACCTCTTGTGATTGCTAATTGGTGAGTGACTGTGGTTGCAACCGTTTCTGGGCTTTACGACATGATGCATCATCTTCATTCAAGCTTGCAGCTGTCTTAAAAATTCTCACATTTGCATGTTATAAGTGCATTCATTTAAACCGTCTATGTTTACATTTGTCAAAGCTGGGCAAAATTTTGTAGACTACAATAATTTTGATTTTTATCATTGCACAGAATGCTGAAGTCACATTGAAATTTCAGAAAGGAGGGAAATATTTATATTCTAATGTTTGCCAGCATGGTTAAATTTTAGTTGTATTCATCATAATCACTCTTCTTACTGACTACTAGAACTTAATTCATGCTGCTTCAGAAAATTATGTAATGTTGCCAATGGCATTCCAAACCTAATTCCCCTATGCTGCTTTTTGTTTTTTTTTAATACTGTTTTTAGTGGTGGAGACATGAACCGTTATGTTCCCTGGCCTTACTGAGAAAAGTTTGATCATACTAACTCACGTTCATAGAATGGTCAAGCTAGGGTATGTATCTATTTATTTGTGAGAGAACACAGAATGGTAAAACAAAAGCAAAACTCACAGTGTGGATAGATTGATCATATTTACAGTGAAAGAGAGACTTTCTCAGAGCTCCAATGAACTGTGTAAAAATTTCTTGGCTGTGATGTATGCAATCTGTGAAACGGCATGTATGTTGTCTCTTTTCTCTGCACTATTGGAATGAAATTGCTGCCACAAAATAGCAAGCATCCACCCATGTCCCAACAAGTGCCCATCCGCTGCTTTTGAAATGTCTAAAACAGGGCTCAGCCGCTTCTCTTCTCACGCCGGTGCAATGTAATGAAGCTTGACATGCCTGTGCCGGGGCCCGGTGCTGAGCAGTGAAGGCCACCCTACCCTCTGCCCCCTTTTGAATTTTGACCTCGGACATCACAGCCGCCTATCCACAGTTTTTTTTTTTTAGATGATATTTAATTTGTAATTTGTAAGTGGGTGCTTGCTTGGTATTTTACTGTGATGGCAATAAGACTCACCACAATCGCCACAATTCACCTGAGGACAAACTTTTTGGGTTTGATTATTATACTTCTACATCTTGCACACTTGCCTAATAAAACATTGCCTCTTTTTTTATATATATAAGTAATAATTTTGTTGTACTTTTAAAAATTACCATTCTAAGTGCTCTATCTTCCATTGATATGGAAGAAAAGTGGGATGGATTTGTTTTCCTTCTGTATTCGCAGAAAATTAAATTGTACAATACTATTTCTTGGCTTAATTGTCAAAGAGACGACTAGGTCAAAAACTGCTGTTTCTCAAAGTAAGACTAGGTAAAGGTGGGGCTGCAGACCGTCTTTTACATCGTTAGTATGTCTCTGCATCAAATTGAAGCATGTGGCATGAGTTGTCCATCTTACTGGCTAAAAATTAAAATAAATCATTCTGTTTCTCGAACTGGTCACTGGTATCTCAAGCATTTTTGCTTGGGCTTAGTTTGCATGTGGCATGATAACCTTCCAGGTCTGGTAGATTTATGTTTTAATTTAATAGTGTAGTTCTCGAAACTTAGTGTTTAAGCAGGAAAACGTTTCAACTATACAATGACTATTCATAATTTTATGTCGTGGGGACACAATCTTCATATCTTCATTTATGTCTTGGGAATCATTGTGAAGATATCCAAAGAGGTCAGTCAGTCAGCACTCGCATGGGATCAGTAATGAATTAAGAAGAATTTACAACTGAAACTTGCACATTTGCATTGCAGTATATCAAGAAGTCATCACTACAAATGCATGTTCTGTTAAAGGATTTTATTCTGTACATTTCTGAATGCTACATAAGTTAATTTAAATGTACCTTGAAATATTAATTGTATCACATTTATCAAGAAAGCAAAAAATTAGTAAAGTTTTGTTGCTGCCATCTTATATCTCAATAACATTGTGATGCTGTAAGCCTAAAGGTCCTTTATTGTTATGCAGATTTAGCAAACAGCTAATAAGCATAGGCCCAAAATCATCTCTGGTGCAGATGTTGCACTCTTTGCCTACTATCTTGGTTAAATCTATTTTCTTCACTGTAGAACATTTTATAGTAAGATCAGTACTCTTGTATTTGTTATTTTAGATAAAAATCTATTATTCAAGTATCTCCAATGCATCATTATTGGTCAAAATGCCTCTATAAGTATTACAAGAATAGTACTTCGACTCTGCTTCACTATATAGTATCTTTGCTATATCAGCCTTTACTATAAAGAGCTTCTGCTGCGCTGTGTGTCAGAATGTGATCTACACAAAGAAGTGTACCTCTTGGGGATTTTTGTTTTTAGACTGAAAACATTTCTAAGATAGGAATCTTTAGTTAAAGAAATGATTCCTTTGCAGACGTCAGATCACGCATGTATTGTAATAAATAAGACTATTTGTCTAAAATTCAAGAAATGAAATACCAAGGTAAGACAAATCTGGCTTTCATGGTTTGCAGGCAGCTTTCTGGAGCCACAATAAAGATATCGAACTCTGAAGAGGGGTCCAAAGACAGAACAGTCACCATCTCAGGAACGCCGGAAGCAATCAACCTAGCGCAGTACCTCATCAACACAAGGTGGGTTGGCGACCCTGGCACACAGATGCCAGCCGGCTCTTTCACATCACACGAACATGTGCACTCTGTCAGGAACCTTCATGAGGAAACCGGCACGAAGGGAATGGCGTACGGCTTATACGGTTTCCCTGAACATCCTCTCTCTGCACCCGTCATATCGTAAACGGCATCCCCTGTTGTCGACAAGCTCCCATTATGCACTTGCCAAACTGGGGATCTGAAATGGAGTCCTTCAATGGGAGCTCAATGAAGCTTTTTTTTTTCTTTATCAATGCTCACTTTAATTAGGAATTGTGTCACTCAACATTCTGTTTGTTTGTTTTGCATTTGGTAGGCTGGGCAAAAGATGTTTTTGTTGTGGTTACCCATTAGTTGTGATCATTTATAGTTAAGAGCCCTGCACCTGGTTTATTCATTGACCATTTGAAAGGCTCTGTCTACAGGGACGCACTCCTGTAATGGAGGAATGATGTTGCTTTCTTCTTGCTTACCTGTTCTTTGTGTAACACAGTCTTGGTTCGCTTCACGGGGGTACCTCGTAGGTGAACACCAACCAGATGTAGGGCGAGCTCTTCTGGGTTCATCTTCCAAACTGGGAAACACAGTCCAGACTTGTCCCTCCTTGCACAAACACAGCCTTCCCATTAGAAAAACTATGTGGGGCTTAAAACTTTCGCTAGCTACCACCACTCTCCGTGCGACATCAGAGAGGGCTTATCTCGTCGACAAGTTTTCACACCGTATACCTTAGGGAGCCCCCTTCCCACCCCAAAGCTTTTCTTGCCCCCTCACCCCTTAGGGTTTCAGGATCATCCCCCCCCATCCCCCCTTTGTTTGTTCCTTTCCTTTTCCACTCCTTGTGAATGGCTCTGCTTTGCTTTGGTAACCATGTTGTAAGATCTCCCAGCCCTTCCGCATTCTCTAGCCTTTCTCAACTGTTATTCTTTTTACCCCTTCCTTTCCTCTTTCCATCCTACCTGTAAAAGTTCTATAATTTGTTGACGTAAGCTGAAAGTTGAACCTTTCTATAGGAGCTAAATGCCATTTTCTGTTCCTAAGCAGAATGCTTTAAATATAGTGTGCAATGCCTCTCTCTATGAGCAGACCCTGGTTTTCTCAGCTGTTGTGTGTATGTATGGTTAGGATAACTTAATCTCAGTCAAAACATATTATGGCTAGATAATGCTTTTCCCGCCTCTGAAAATACCTTAGCCTCAGAGTTTATAATGCACTCTTATAAAAGGTTCATCTGTAATCCCTTGTTTTGTTTTGTTTTTCTTTTATGTTTTATGCACACTCTTAAGTCATAACCACTTGTTGCACCGTTTTCCTCCATGGACTATATGGCCTCTTTTTGATGGCATCTTGCACAATCCTGAGGTGCCATATATATGTTCCTTTCCCCACCTCTTTGTCAGACTGGCTTTTTTCCTTTGCTTACTACAAAACCCTTTTATGGAACCTTTGTCATAAGAAGAAAGGAGAATTTGTTGTTTTATGGGATCAGTTTAAGAACAAACAGTCTTAAAATGTAAAGTTAGGCTAAACTATTGACAGGTATGTATCTTACATTTCAGCAGTTAGTTGCATTGTTCTCACAGTACTGAATTTTATTATACATATGGGTGTCTTTCTTTTTCTGTGTGAACGTACACCTGTTGCACAGTGTTGATGATGCAACTTTAGATTACTTTTATTCTTATGTGGGAACTGTAGAGAGTAGCAGTTAAAGCTGGAGTGTTTTTCCTTCCTTTTTTGATTAGCATTTTGTTTTTAATCAATCAGCTTGTGATGACAAGTTATTTGCCCCACTTTCTTTTAAACTTGCCTTTCCCAGTCTCAATACCATGTTGTGTCCATGCATTCATGTGTCTGTGTATGCATGAGTTCTGCCAAGCTTGTCCATCACCATTCATTTTACTTCGTTTAGCCTTTTTTCATCACAATCCTTTTTATGATTTTGGCCATCAAGATTTTTCTCTAATCCAGAAACTCCTCCTTTTTTTTCCCCTTCCATCCCCCATTCCTTCCCCATCTACTCACCTTCCTATCCAATAAACCCTCCTTCCCACAATCTTATCCCCCCCCTTTCCCCAACTCCGACTTATTTTACGGCGCTTGCCTTTGCTCTGCCCAAACTGTTGCTTTCATCTTTTTACCCCTCTCCCTCTCTTCAATTTTCCCTATCGTCTCCCTCTGAATTTCATTTATTTATTTATTTATTTTTTGGTTTTTATTACACACAAAATCTTGTCCTTTCCTTCCTACTAATTTTCTTTTCTCCTTTCCCCCATTTCAATTGGATTGCATTTTTATTTTACTTCTGATTTTTCTTTGTGGTCTTCCTTGTTCATTTTTTTTTCCTTTTTTCTCTGGCTCCACCCTGTCCCCTTTTTCTCTCTCCCTCCTCTTCTGTTTTTTGTCTCTGCAGCATGGAACTGCATAAGAACCTGACCCTTGACCTGACCTCGAACCACCCTGCCTCGACCTCTGGAACCCTGCCACCCAACAACAACAACACCACCACCACCACCCCGAGCCCCCTGGCAATCCCGCTCAGCCAACTGGTGAAACCCGCCAGTGCCGCCCCGCTTGCCCTGCTGGCCAACGAACTGAGCAACCTCTCTTCGGCCGCCGGCCAAGGGCGCAAGGCACTCACTCCCAAAATTCGGGGCTCCTCCGTGGCCAACTCCGCAGCAGCGGCAGCGGGTGCCACTGCCTCGCATAACGGCAGCAAGAAGTCCGAGCGGAACAAGTTCTCCCCTTACTAGTGGGAAGGGCCCCGCCACCCTCTCTCTCTCTCTCTTCCTCTCTCTCTCTCTGTCTCCTCGTACCCCTCGTGTCTCTAAATTATTCTCCCCCCAGAAAACACACACGACACACACACACACTGGATTCACAAGGCCAGCTTGTCGTTTCGTGACCAGCTAATGTTCAGTCTATGAAAGGGAGTCTGGTGGTGTAACCTGCTTTTGGTGTGTTTCTTCGGAAGAACAGAGAAAAAAGATAGAATGTTCCTCTTTTTCTATTTTCCTCCTTCTTGGTTCTTCCGCAACCCGGCAACGGGGAAGTTGGGGCGTTGTTGTGTGCGCGCACTGCGAAGGAGGACTGTTGCAAAGGACTGTGCAGCAAGGAGAAAGAACGCTAACCTTGTGTTGTGTGTCTGACAGTGTTGGTGTGGCCGTGCGCGCATACGGGGTGATGGTCTCTGCCTGGTGTATAGCAGAAGCCATTTTTTATGGCTCTTTTTTTTTCCCCTTTCTTTCTCAGAGTTTGTCTTTGGGGTGTGTTCCTTTCTCTGGTGTGCGCTCAGTGCAATGACCGCGACGTCTTTCTCCAATCTCGCCAGTATTTTTTATGTTGTTATTTACCAAAGAAGTTCTATTCTGAGGCTAAACGGGGAGAGACAGCACTGGACGATCCAATGTTTTTGACGTGAGGAGGGCATGTTTCCCCTCGTTCATTCAGTGGCATTTTGCTTCGCTGTGATTAGATCACTCTATGTGTGTTCCTTTAGTTTGTACTTCTGTTTATTCATAAAGAAGGGATACTTTGCAAAAATTTACATTATTCAACAGAGCAGTGAAGCACATATGTTTATTTGACATTGTTTTACTTCTGATCTTATTTTTTTATGGTCTTACTTAGGGCTCCTTGTACAAAATGAGTAAAAAAAATATGCTTAAACAGTGCCATGGTTGTGCAAGGAGTACTGCAAAAAGCAAAATGCAATGGATTGACCACTTGGATGTTGCACATACCGGATTACCACATCTACAGAGATTCTTTTTTGTCTGAATGGAAACAGATTCGGTATTGCAAACATATCAAGAGTGGGCATCATTATTTGTATTTTCTTAATGCAGCTTATTGGCCTGCATAGTTGAACGTAGGTTAGCAAAGAAGTTTTCACTCAAAGCTGCAAACGTTGACTTGTAGGCTCATGCAGCCATATGCACAAAGCAATCAAGTTTGAGACAAGCTCTGTTTTCTTTTTTAGGGTACAAGTGTTAGCTAGTCGAGATGAAGTTTTGCGTTTACATGGCTAGGCACGAGGTTAGCTAGCTCCTGTGCGACAGAGTTGTGCATTTTTTATTCATTTTAGCGGTAGGCGTTGGTCTGGTTCTTGTTGTTGATATCTGAAACTTTGCTGTATCATAGTTTGTTCTGCAGCTGTAATATCAGTGTTTCTAAGTCACGTGCCTCAGATATCTCGGTGTGTTATGCTAACCTGCATTTTCATTTGCCAACCATAGGATGGCTACATAGTAGGTAGTACCTGGGTGCAACTTGTTTTTTAACTGTCTGAATATTGCAAGTCAGGGTAACAGCCCAGCACTCGGATATCAATATTGCTTGCACCTGGAGGAGCTGGTCCCTTGTTTTGTGTATATAATACACACTCACCTTCAATAACTTTTTTTCTTCCTAGCACTTAGGTCTTATGGCCCGCATAGAGCAGCAGATGACGCAGTATTTTATTTGCTGTAGTCTGGTACATAGTTAAATGCTGTAGTAGCTTGTCTTAACATTTACTGAATTACTTTTCATAGTTTGCTTACATCACACAGCAAGTCTGGTCAAAAACATTGAGCCCACAATGTTTCATTATAAAAGTAATGATCTGATGTACAATTCATTAATGGGATGTCTTATCCTAGGCTCTCAAGGCACATGTCTAAATTCATCCCCTCTGTAAATCTTATTCACTCTAAGACATTGCAGGCGATCAGAAGTTGGCAATAATGTTTGTACATAAAACAACAAATATGATATATATATATGCCAGCCTTGTTGTGTGAAGTCACACACAAGGTATAAGCAAAATGTACACAAAAGCTATGTAGAACAACACAGCTTGAACATTATATCAGGTCTTTTCATCATTCCATGAAGAGGCATAGGGTCGAGTGTAGGTTTTATTTTGAGAGGAACAGTTTTCTTGCAGATGCAGGTGGTATAAGCGGTTCATTTTGCACATTTCACGAGAACCATGGTTTTCGTCTGTCTTTTTGACGTGAGGCTCTCCTGGCAGAGGACAAGCTTGTGTTCTTACATGGGAAATGGAAGTTGTTATGGTGTGGCAGTCAGTATCCCTTGACATGCCGTTTGTGCAGCTTCACTCTACAGAACCTCTCTGAGCCTTGAACAGCTCGCATGTGATGTGGTCAGTCAAATGAGTGTTTTGTATTTCTATGGACATGCATACAGATTATGAGCAGCAAGACATATCTTCTCAGAGGGTTGCCTGTGACATGTTCCCTAACCAGCCATCGTTGTTGACTTTTGCCCGACAACAAGTGCTCTATTTGGTTGTGATGGTATCTGCCAGTTTATTAGTTTGATCCAAAATATTTTATGCAAATTAATTGTGAGGCATCTAAGCCTCATCATTTTATGGCCAAAAAAAGTTTTTTTTTTTTTTTTTTTTACATTTGGAGGGCTCAGTCTTGACTAAACTGAAGTGTCAGTGAAACTTGTTAATAAATACATGTCACTGGTGGCTGTATCTTAAAATAGTAGCTTTCAGTGAATTATTCATTCAGATTTTTTGCAAATATTACTCTATACTTTTGGTAGTCAGTCTTTCCCTTTTTTTTATATATTCTAAGCCGAGAGGTACTAGTTGTGAGAGGTGCACAATTGCAGTTTTGAGGACCACAGTATCGTTGAACAACAAATTGACACTGGCTTAACACTATTCTGAGAGTAAAGCTGTCAGTATCACTTGATGGTTTGGCACATGTCACAGGGGACATCTGTAGTTAGCTGTACATCTTGTTTGTTTCTCCATTTTGTGTCAGTAGGACCACAGGTGTTATTACTTGCTCCATGTCGTACGTGTGTAATGGCCAAGCGCCCCACTCTGTGGACAGCAGGCGAGCGGCAAGCGGAACCCATACCCTTCCATTGTAGAATAACCATTTTGGAGGCATACATTAAAGATGCTGTAATATCACTCTTTTGGTTTGCTTTCCTCGTTTTTCTTTGTGCAACTGTGCTCCTGAGGTCTGCACAGTAGGGGTTTGGGTACCAGTTTCTGCTTTCCCCATTTGGGGAGTTATGTGGGATGCAGAGTCGTGTTTATCAAACCACCAGTGCCGTTTACACGCTTGAATACCAATGGTATTAGGATTTCATGTTTTCGGTAAATACCGATAAACCCCGAAATATAATCCCCGAGACGTTGTTTCTTTTTTTCTTTTAACCGAGGAGAACCGGAAAACCTCAAATTGGAGCTCTCTCTCTTACAATAACAAAAACTCGAGCTTGAATATCTTCATCTACAGTTTTATATTGTGTTAACCTGGCACGAAGCCCCCCTACCGAACTGTCCTGCAATGCTGCTGCGTCTCATTTTCTTCAAATATCAGCGCCGGGACGTCTTTCGAGAAATCGGGTCGCGCATGTTCCTACAGGTTGGGGGATCCCGTTTCCGTGTCTTAGCCATTTCTTTTTTCGTCCGACACCAGAAAACATTGAATTTTAGGGGAAAAAATAAACCCCGAAAAAACTCCTGAATCCGTAGAAGAGTAAAAGCTCGTATTTCGCTTGTGCAGTCGAGACGAATGTTAAAGCTCCCCTGTGCGAAGATGTACATGGCATACACTCGTCTTTTTTCACAAACGTGCGAGTCAGGTCCGTTACATTTGACTAGCCATGGTCTGTACGGAACGTGCTAAGCCTAGCCGTATGCCACTTCACGGACAATTCTTGTGCCGGGTCTATTTAGAGACGTTGGAAGGCCCGGTTAATTTCGTGGAAGGCAGCAGATATCGGAACCTGTGACAACGCAGGATGGAGGACATCTGCAATGAACATTGAGCATAATTCACTTTAGGGGTAGCCACTGCCAGTAGCGTCACTATGGTCAGCGGCACCCTGGGTGGTGGCCTGCCGCAACCCTCCCCCCCCCCCTCCCCCCCTTTTCCCCTAGTGGCGTCACTGGGGGTAACATAATTGAATATGGGTAACGGTAATACTCCAGTTTCATTTCATGTACCGTATTATTCGGACACCCGGTGCATAGTCCGCACGTGAAAGATTTTCATATAGCATACCTTGACAAATGCCTGCTTTATCAGTACACACATAAACGTGTAAACATAGGCGGAGACTTCGGGGGGGGGCATCAGAACTCGTGCCCCCCCCCCACCCGGGCCCGGGCCATGATCCTTGCTGAGATGCTGTTTACGTGTCATGTAACGAGCTTCTAGTAGTGGCATGTAAACAAAATAACGCCCACGTTGCCTTTGTTGACAAAATACATGGGAAATGGAATCCCTGCTAGCGTGCTATCGTTAGCTTCAACCTCCAGTTCTGGCGAAAAGGTAACGCGCAGTACCCCCCCCCCCCCCCCCCCCCCCCCGGGGAAATAGAAAGTATACGCCGCTGCGTGTAAATCATCATTAACATGCCCTGTCATTCTCAAAATCCGTCATGCCTCATAGCAAACAATCTAAAAAAAAACTTGGATAGATTGCGTGCATTTGTAGATAGTCCGCACTGCACTGCGCCGCTGTCGGGTGTTCTGCACTACGGCACGGGATAAAGCTTTTGAAGATACTTTCAGGAAGGAGTAAATACACATTGACGGAAGCGTCTCAAGCTGTTAACGTAATAGGCACGCTGCATTTGGGATGCGCTTCAGCATAACGAAATAACCGGACATTGTACGGAGAGTGCAATGTCCACAATATTGTGCAATGTGCACAATATTGTGCGAAATTACTTTTTTACAATTATCACTGAAAAAATGAACGCATGTTGTCGACGAACCTTCGCTGAAATAAGTGGCATGGGACTCCCTTTCCGGGGGTTCAAGGGGGCCACAGCGGGCTTGGGTTGCTGGCTGGACGCCGCGAAGCGGCGTTTACGGAGGGCCAAGTGGGTTAATAGGTTTGTAATTAGCAGCCGCAGACTGTCGCCGCGAAGCGGCGTGAACGCAGGCGGGGGTGTGGGTTAACGCGATACAGTGGTACACGCGCCATCCGAAAAGGGTAACCCAAATGGCACGAGCTCTCCGCGTTCCGGACGGAACTCTAGTGGCGGCTAGCCACACCGTTTTAATTAATCACGTTTGACAGTAGCAATAGGCGGTGTACTTGTCAATTCTTTCTTCTAAAGCATGGAAAAGATGTCACTTGCTACGAAGTCCTAGCCCAAAATATGGGTATCTTTTCTGCCTCCCCTTCCCAAATAAGAGAGACCCCAAGGTGCCTCGTCGTTTGTCACTCTGGCAGCAGATGATGTAACAGTCGTACTAAAGCACTACTATTTCAGGACCCCTTGTAGACCGGCAGAAGTTGTGGAAAAAGGGAGGGGGCCTATAGGGACGATGAACTACTGTATTTACCGAACTACAAATATAGGTCGACTCACCTAAAAAAAAATTATATTTGGGTGTAGGCTTTTCGAGAAGTGTAAGAGAATTCCTACAAATACATATCTGGCAACGTGCTTAGTCACCCTAACCATAACGCACGATCGGGCTGGCCAGTCATCGCACGAACATCAATGACTGTCAGCTACCGGCCTCAACGTCGTCGGTCGTCGCACTCGTGCTGCGCCGCTCGCGTCAAGCTTCAGTGCTTTGCATCCGTGTGCTCGGAGAAGCGGGCGACGCGGGGAAGCAAGGCAGCACAATAGGGTCGCATATTTTGCTTACTATTACGGGCCGGCCCTTAATTTTAAACAGTGTCGGAAAAAAAACGAAAAAACGCTGACCTGCATTTGTTTAACTGGTAATTGCTAGTTGATATGTAATTGTCTTATTATCATATTTTAAAAAACACAAGGGTGTGAAGAGTCCTGTGTGTGACAAAAAAAAAAAAAAAAGTTTTTTGTGTAAAGGGTAACTTCGGTCAATTTTCTCAATTTTAGGCTCACGACTGTTTTTAGTGGAGGAAGTGTCCCTGAATTACGAGGTGTCCTATTTTTGTTCAATGCCTTTTGTAGTTTTGTAGATATCTCATCTCAAAGTTTTGCTTTGAACTTTGAACTTTATTTCAGCAACATTATGCCGAGGACACCGGACAAAAAGCTAACAGAAGCTAGCTTGACTGGGTCCGGTGCCCTTGCATGTACAGGGAACAAAATCATATTTAAACAATCCTAAATATTTCTTACAATATTCAAATCAATCAATTTAAAATGTTCCAATAAAATTTTAAAATCACCGACATTAGAGAGCATTTTTTTTCCTTAATTTAACAACACAAAAAAGTACGCAATGTTTTCTTAGTTATACAATGAATATCGATGCGGTTCATTACAATGTTGTTAAGCAATGTAGGTAGATTATGAGCAAGAGACTGCAGTGCATAATTTGTACGGGAATGGGGAACCTTCCAGAATTCTCTACGACGAACATCGAAGACTGATTCACGCTCAGTCAGGTTTGCTAGCTGTGACAAAAAAGCAATAAACTCCAAAGTTGAAAAGGCGTAAGAAAATAGCAAACGATAGTCATAAATACAAGAAACTTTCATGATATTGTAGCTCAAATATAATGGTTCAGCATGTGTGTCGTACGGAACATTAGCAATGAAACGAATAATTTTTTTCTGAAGAGTTATTAGTTTGTTGACGTTACTTTTGGTCGTTGTGCCCCAAACTAAATGGCAGTAGTTGATTTGTGAGCCGAACAGAGCATGATAAATTTGAATCTTAACTTTTGTACGCAAAAGAGAGCGACAGTGACCGATGATGCCAGCTACCTTTGCCAGTTTGTGAGTTAGAAATTCAAACTCACAAACTGGGAGGTCTACGGCGAAACCGAAACTACTGGCTTGAGTATGGTGGCAATCCTTGTGATCAGCTGCATGGTCGTCTTTTAACAGCAGGGAGGCAATTAGTAAATTGAAATTGAAAATTGGTGGGCAAGTATCATCCGAAATGGATGATACGCGGTGGGCACGTAAGGTATTCAAGTATTTATACATTAAAAGTTTAAACACAAAATGCACAAACCGAACCCGAAATCTTACATTTAAATACCTACACACTGGTGATCGATGGTGCTGAGCAGACTACTTCAGTGGAAAAGGGGGTGAAAGGGGCACGAAGGGAAATGTGGGAGAGAAGAATGCAGGAGAAATCAGCTCTAACAGTGTACAGGCCACGAAAGCAGGACATAAGAAAGGAACATGTGCTTGACAATGCACTGGGAAGTTCTTTGCTGTTCGAGGCGAGAAGGGGAGTTTCGAGGACTAGGGCGTATAGAGCCACATTTCAAGAGACAGACACATTATGTGCCGCCTGCCATAATGAGAGCGAGGCTTCGAAGTGCACGGGACATCGCCCTACGCTCCCTGAAGGGGTATCGGATTTGGCCGGGGCTCTGGGTTTTACTGGCGACGATGGAAGGACGGAAGTGAAAAGGATTACAGTGACAAAGAGGCGACTTGAAGATTGGTGGAAGTTATCTAGGGAAAATTGAGTGATGGGCATAACTAACTGGCACAGCTGGAGACAGGCGGGACCATAGGCGTAGACTTCGGGGGGGGGGGGGGGGGGGGGGGGGGGGGCATCGGGGCTTGTGCCCCCCTCCCTGGTGAGATCCAGGAAGGAAGGGGGGGGGGGGGGGGCAGAGCTTCCCCCCCCCCCCGGGCCTGGGCCATGATCCTTACCGAGACGCTGTTTACGTGCCATGTAACGAGCTTCTAGTAGTGGCATGTAAACAAAATAACACCCACGTTGCCTTTATTGACAAAATACATGGGAAATAGAATCCCAGCATGCTTTCGTTAGTTTCCATGTCCAGTTCTGGCGAAAAGGTAACGCGCAGCAAACCCCCCCCCCCCCCCCCCCCCCCTTTCCCCGGGAAAATGAAAAGTCTACGCCGCTGGGCGGGACAGAGGAAACTTAGGACACTCTCCCGCCGTGACTCTTGCCCAAAGCCTCAACCCTGTCTCCCAGTGGGTCTGGTGCTGGGGTAACGCCGGCAAGGTTTGACCA